ACTTGGATAAAGCATCATTATGGCATTGTCGTCTTGGACATATAAGCAAGAAACGCATAAGCCAACTCCAAAAGGATGGAGTCTTTTGAGTCGTTTGACCTAAAGTCAAATGATAGTTGCGAATCATGCTTACTTGGAAAAATAACGAAGTCACCCTTCACAGGCTCGTGTGAGAGGGGTGAAGGTTTGTTGGACCTTGTACACACGAATGTGTGTGGACCATTCAAACATGTCACAAGGGATGCTAATCGTTATTATTTGACTTTTACTAATGATTACAGTAGATATGGATATGTCTACTTAATCAAGCATAAGTCAGAGACTTTCGAAAGGTTTAAGGAATTTAAACAGGAAGTCGAGAATCAATTGGGCAGGAACATTAAGATGCTTCGATCCGATCGAGGTGGTGAGTATCTTACTTCAGAGTTCCTCGACTATCTAAGGGAATGTGGGATTGTCTCACAATTGACACCTCCCAGGACACCGCAGTTGAATGGTGTGGCTGAGAGGCGTAATCGAACCTTGTTAAAACATGGTTCGTTCCATGATGAGTCGAGCTTCGCTACCAATCTCATTTTGGGGGTATGTCTTAGAGACTGCCTCCCATATCCTTAATCTAGTCCCTACAAAGAAAGTTGCCAAAACTCCTCACGAGATGTGGACTGGTAAAGTACCCAAACTAGACCACATCAAGATTTGGGGTTGCGAGGATTTCGTGAGATGCGAGACTCATGATAAGCTCGAACCTCGAAGTGAGAGGTGTATTTTCATCGGCTACCCACAACAATCCTTTGGTTACCTCTTCTACAGACCTAGTGATAATGTGGTATTTGTAGCAAGAAGAGGAGTCTTTCGAGAAAGAGAGTTTATAAGCCAAGGAGATAGTGGGAGGCAAAATGATCTTGAAGAAATTCAAGAGTCAAGTGGTGAAGGAACTTCAGACTCTAGCCCTCAACTTGAGGAGGAAACTCCTGTTGAGCCAATTGACGAAGCTGTACCTCTGGGGCGTTCCACGAGAGTTAGGAGTGCACCTGAGCATTACTATGGATTCCATATTACTGCAGAAGATGAGACACTTATTAGCGATGGGACACTAGTAAGTCAAGATGACCCTAACAGCTACGAGGAAGCCATGGCAGGCCCCGAGTCTGCTAAATGGAAAGAGGCTATGGATAGCGAGATACAATCCATGTATGACAATCAAGTTTGGAACTTGGTTGAGAATGTACCAGATCGTAAGACAGTAGGGTGCAAATGGATCTTCAAGAAGAAGACCAACATGGATGGTAATGTACACACTTATAAGGCTCGACTGGTCGCGAAGGGCTTCTCTCAAATTCTTGGAGTGGATTATGATGAGACCTTTTCTCCAGTAGCCAAGATTAAGTCTATTAGGGTTATGTTAGCCATAGCCGCATTTCATGACTATGAAAATTGGCAAATGGATGTCAAAACCGCTTTCCTTAATGGAAAGTTGGCTGAAGATGTTTACATGAGTCAGCCAGAAGGTTTTATCAGCAGCGAGTACCCTAATAGAGTGTGTAAGCTTGAGAAATCCATCTATGGATTAAAGCAAGCACCTCGCAAATGGAATCTCTGCTTTGATGAAAAGGTCAAGGAATTTGGCTTTTGTAGGAGTGAAGATGAATCTTGTGTGTATGTCAAGGCTAGTGGGAGTATAGTTAGCTTTTTGGTATTGTATGTGGATGACATACTACTCATAGGAAACGACATTCCAACCCTGCAGGAAGTAAAGTCCTGGCTTGGGAAGTGTTTCGCTATGAAGGACCTTAGTGAAGCTGCCTACATTTTAGGGATAAGGATCTTGAGAGATCGGAGTAAAAGACTAATTGGACTTAGTCAGAGTACTTACTTGGATAAGGTGCTGAAGAGATTCAACATGCAGGACTCCAAGAAAGGAGAGTTACCCATCCAGAGTAATGCCAAATTGAGTAAGACACAAAGCGCTAGCACTGAGGCCGAGATAGCAGAAATGAGTCGAATACCTTATGCTTCGGCTGTAGGATCGATCATGTATGCTATGACGTGTACTCGACCTGATGTAGCCTTTGCCCTGAGCATGGTTAGCAGGTTTCAGGGGAACCCTGGCAAGGCACACTGGACTACGGTAAAAAATATTCTCAAGTACCTACGAAGGACTAAGGACTGGGTCCTTACCCTCGGTAGGAGTGATGACTTGAGAGTTGTAGGGTATAGTGATGCTAGCTTCCAGATTGATAGAGATAATTTTCGCTCTTAGTTGGGCTAGGTCTTTACCCTAAACGGAGGAGCAATTTCTTGGAAGAGTTCCAAGCAAGAGACAGTGGCTGATTCAACTTGCGAATCAGAGTATATTGCAGCGAGCGAGGCGGCAAAGGAGGCTATATGGCTAAAGAACTTCATCGGAGACCTTGGAGTTGTACCAGCTATTAAAGAGCCAATGGAAATTTTATGTGATAGTGAAAGCGCTGTTGCCTTAGCCAAGGAACCAAGGGATCACGGGAGATCCAGACACATCGACAAAAAATGCCATTTTATTAGACATCGAATAGAAGAAGGACTCCTCGTGGCAAAGAGGGTATCATTGGATGAGAACCCAGCAGATCCCCTCATGAAGGGACTGACTCGGGTTAAGCATCTCCAGCATGCTCGGAGCATAGGGCTGAAGGATGATATTAGATTTAGTAGTTAGATAACCTCGAAATTTGTAAAGTGTAATTGATATTAGATGATGAATAAAAGGTGTTTTATTTATGAGTAAAGTGTTGCTATCTCTTGTCAATCGTTTACTATATTTCTTTTGCATGTTTTGACTTCCAGAATAATTTTGTTTAGTATAACATATTATTCAAACCTCCACAGTCGGCCATATGTCAGAAGTAGGTATGAATCAAGACTGTCATGATTGGTTGCAGAGGTCTAAGTTGTTAGACAAGGCTACAACAATCATGAGTGCTCATAAGTTATGAGCATTGGACTCAACCCACGCTCACTGGAATCACTTCATGGAATTCTATCTCGAGTGATTGTGAGACGGTAATATCATATAAGTCTTCAAACCTAGAGATATGATTTGTTACTTACAAGTTGGTTATGCATTGATTGTACGAAAACGCATTGGTAACTCGCTGTTATAAATCGTGTTTTTGTGTGTAATTCAATGAGTGGTAGAACAAACATATGAGTCGAAGTTTATCTGTTCCTTCTTGGATTAGAAGCTGATATTTGGGCCCCTCGATGATTTTGTTTTGACCTATGTACCGGGCCCGGTTAGAACTAAGTTGATGTGTTCAATTAAGTTCTTTGTCAAACAAATCGGAAATCGGGAAACAAACTGTTGGACAGTAAGTAAGACATTGTTCCATGTATTTGTCCGACTGATATCTATAACAAAGGATTATATGATCACTTATCTTAAATGGCGTATCATCATCTTCTCAGTTCCGAGAAACCTTGAAAAGAGCTACGATTGCCGATCGGTTCCTGAAGTCATACTTGCAGTAATAGTTATTAGATTTATCCAAATGGGAGACTTTTGGATAAGGTGTCTAAGTCCATAACTATTTCTGGTATGTACTTGACCCAACCCGACATGGTCCATTTGGGTTGCATGGCACCATGCAATTGGATAGACTAAATTAGAGAAATAACACTTGGAGATTATTAATATATTATAAGTTCTAATATATTAATAATATTATTTGACACTACTAGAAAAACAGCCTTTTACGACGCGCAAACCACGACACTCATTGATTTATGTTACGCAAAAGGGAGTGACATTAAAAAATTGTCATCTCTTCAAAAAATTTAAGGATTTATGTCGCGCATTACTACGTGCCTTTAAATTAGTGTCTAAATAAAAACAAAAAAAAACACGGAGGGCACTTATAATAAAACGCGTGTCGTCTAAGAGTGTCGCTTTATAAATTTTAATACAAGGCGCGTTCCATCCTTTAATAATTAGGGGGAAATGAAATCCTAAAAAATTAAAAACCCCGCCTTCCAATTTTCTTTTTTCCTTCTTGCCCTAAATATCGGCTCCTTCCTTCCCCCTCTCGACATTGACTGCCACCTTCTTCTTCCCTCACACTTCGACCATCGTTAGGTACCATTCCCGGTCGTCAACGTCGATCAAGGCAACAGTAGGTACGCCATCTCCGAAGTTATGAGGCAACAACGATGGTTCCAAAGAAAAAAAGACTCCATGCTGGTGACTTTAGGGATGGAAGATATCAACAATTGGACATTATGTCTAATAGATGAATTCATGTGACCTTCTATGAAATTATGCTTGAATTTACTTTGAAAAAGGTTGATATATTACACAGACATATGTTTTTGGCGATCTTTATCGATATGATGTTGATAAAGGAGATTGGAAGCTAGTTTCTAGCCCTAACAGCCCCCTCCTCTCAGTCCATTTTCTGGTTATCGAATGGTATGTTCATACCTTTCTGATTTTCCCTATGTCATCCATCTTTTAGGGTTTCTAATTTGAGCCAGCGACCCCTCATTTTTCTCTCAGATTTGAGACTCCTCTTTCATCAGAAATAGGAGGTAGCAAGGTTAATTTCATGAGATTCGGAACTATGACTCGAATTACAGGTTGAAGATCAGAAATCGAAGGTTGCAAGTCGGATTTGGGATCGAAAGTCAGAGGTTCAAGGTACGATCGGAAGCATCAGAATGCAGAAAAAAAAACGGAGGAGGCATCAGGTTCGAAAGTTGTTATCTTCTTCTTAATGTATGTGCCCTAGATTTCTTTCTCTTACATTCCTTTTTTAAAGATTCTTTTATTCCCTAAATCAGGTACGCAAACTGTTCTCTTCTTCTTCATCTGTTTTTGGAATGACAACCTCTCTTGTTAACCTAAAGGGTATTTTCGACTTTTTTTGTTTTTGTTTTTTCTAATTAATATTTGATGTTGATTTTTGTTTTGTTTGGTTTGTTGTGTAGGGGATTTAGCAATGTGGTGATTACATGGGCAAATTAAGCAAATGGAAGTTGCAATTGAGCAAGCTGCTCAATCACGTTCAAGAAGAAGCAAGTGGCAGTTTATGGGGACAAGTGATGCTGGTGCTAAAGAAGAGCTTCACCGGGTGTATTATGTGTCTTAAAGAACAGAAGGCAATCCCTCACTAGGTGTATTGTGCTAAAGAAGACCTTCTGCCCATTCCATTATAATTACTTGTGATTCTTCTCGGTTAATGATATCAGGACATAAGAGAATGATATATGTAAGCAATCCTTATGTTTCTCTCAACTGTTGAGTTGTGTCATGATAATGATATATATTTCTTTTCAGGTTGTAGATGTTGGAAGCAAGAATTGTAATCACTAATTCATCTCATGTTGTAAGGATTCAAATTTAGAATTACCACCTGCAGTCAGCTATTTTGGAGATGAGTATACATTCAATCTAGAGACACAAGTACTCTGGCTAGTATATGTGTATGTATGATGTTTATAGGGCTAATATGATGTAATTTTGTTTGTCTGTTTGAGCAGGAAATGCTAGTTCATTCCAAACGTCACTTGTTTTATGCAGTAGGTAGCATTCAAACACAAGTTGGAACCTTTCTTCAAGATAAAGGAATTTTTTTTTCTATCATAGATCATAAGAATAGCCTTCATCTTAAATGATCTTCTAACAGTTTATCTTCCTCAAAAGGTTTCTGATTCTATGTTAGTTTCTAGAACAACATGGGAAGGTGGTCAATACAATAGGGATGAAAAGAGTCGATTGGATGCTCTGTGTTTAGCAATGGAGCTAGGAGCTGATCACATTGATGTTGAGCTTCAGGTTCCTTTCTTCTCTGTAGGTGCAAATGGTGCAGCTGGTCATTGCTTTCTTCGGCTCATATATAGGTATATAAACCATAATTTATTGCAACGCAGTTATTAACTCAATAACATTTAATAAACTTATTTTTTCTCAAAAACAGAACAATTGAATCAGGGCAAATTTATATATATACTAATTTTGAACTACATGTTGAACAGTTGTTGCATCTGATTGGTTATAATTTTTTTTTTTGGGTTTTGTTTTCTTCTTTTGTTCTCTTATTTGGCTTGGTTTCATCGGCTTCTGATACACTCACAACGTGTCTTGCACCGCCTTTGTTATCCAATGGGAAGCTTACACAATTGCTTCCATTGCCTCACCTACCATTCCTGTTTGTTCCATCTCCCTCCACCCGCTTATCTTCTTTTCCAATCGTTATTCCACCGTTTTCCCTCAATCAATTTCCCTCAACTAATTCCACCTCCACTCCATTGTAACTACTCTAGCACCGACGTCACTCTCTCTGGTACTTTCTACACACCATTCTCCACCGCCTGTTCTGTTTATCTGGGTTTCCAGCGACTGTGAGGTTGGTGAGCTGGACACCTGATTTGGTTTTTTAACATGCCCTTAGCCAACGTCATCATCTGTTTGTCCTTCTCCGACGTCGTCTTCTGTTTGTCCTTCTCCGATTCCTCTGTGTTTCCCATATTGAGGGTTATAATTTCTTCTTGATTTTTGTATTACGGGTTTATGTTCCCCTCCGCTACGTCGACACCTTCGGTCGTACCCGATACGACCTCAGTTCCACCGGAGAATTCTTCAGTTGTACCATAGACGCCTATGGTGGAGGCGTCGGTGTAAGTGCTTGGATAATCGGACGTCATTGGTGGCATTGTGATCTGTTGTGCACAAAAATCGGAAAATTTCTTAGCCCTGTTGTTGTTGCTGTACAGATATGTCGACAAAGAAGAGAGATCGAGTAGGTAAATCACACCGACTTTGCTGCAACATCTTTTGGTTTTAGTGTTTATTCTATACCAACTTTATCTCAATTTCTATTGTTTTTTTGGTTATTATAATGAATTTATATCATGTTGCAGTTTCAACAGGAAGAGGATTCTGATACAAATTTCATTGAAGCTTATTTGTTGAATAAAAAGACAGAAGAAGAGTGAAGCCAATCCCATTCCTGTTCCAGCCAATAAGGGTTTATTGATCAATACATGTAAGCCGTCCCTTTGTGCTACTTTAGACTCAAATAATGATTTTGACTTCTATATATTTAAGAATACATGTGGCTTCAAATATATAATGATGATACTGAAGTTTTTTTTTTTTTTTTTTTTTTTTTTTTTTTTTGTAGGAGTTTTGCCATTAATGCGTTGTAAGGGTAATCATTAACCATGTAAATCTTGAAACTTTCAAAGATTCTAATGCTATGACATGGTTTTAGCCTTTTAGGACAATTGAACTATAGATAAGATCATTCCAATCTTGAAAGTAATCGTCTGACCTAATATATGGCTTCCGCCACCGGATCAAGGGGCTTCACTTACATCTCTAACCTTATAATCAGTTGCCATGTTGTCAATACACAACTTCCATCTCATTAACAGCAAGTTGTCATCTTTCTTGAAGGCGTATTGAAATTTGGGGAGATTTCGTATAAGGCATGTAATATTTTTTCATAAATCATTGACACCCAGAAAATCTCTTAAGTTTTAACCAAGATTCACATTTGCAGCTCGAAAAATCATTGCAATGGTAGGTCTACAAATTCAATAGGAACAAAGTAAATCTAAACAATAAGGTGATAATCACTCTCACTCGAAAACTCATTGCAATGGTAGGTATACATATGTTGTAGACTGAAACTAACAAACAGAACACAAATACTAATATTTATTCATATTCACATTCATCTCTTTCTGTAAGTAAATTATTTTAAATAAAAAATACCTGAAAAACCATAACATCCTGGTAATCAGACTTTTATGATAACATGGCCACAACATGTTTTTCTTTTATTCTCTACTCACACCTATTATGCAGGATTGTAATAGTGACTTTGTTGCCTCATGCCTGCAGTGATAACTCTTTGTCCACACAATCATGAGGTTCCCATCTATAAATCAGTTGAAGAAAATTGGGAAAGGATTCATGTGGGCATCTGAATTCTAGCATGTCAGTGAGCTCTTTCGCTTTAATAATTAAAATAATAATTGAATGTTTACTTACTATTAATTATTATGTTCTTGATTTCAGGAGAAAACGCAAATGACATCTGTGGACCGAATGGCAGGTGCAAACATTCCATCTTTGGCTGCTATGGAGCAGACTCGAATTCTAGCACACACTATAGCTCAGAACACCAATCCAAAGTTTCAGGTTACTTTACTTACTTTGAATTAAAATTGTCTTTTTTTTAATTTATTTTTTTATAATCAGGATATTATTTATTTGGTTTGGCAAATAATAACGAGGCCAGGCATGTAAATGGGGATTGGAAAAATGAATATCAACATCAATATAATGCAGACCCTTCCTCTACCTCTTAGGCAGATCAGTATGCACGTGAAGAGGCAAGTAAAACTTTTCTCCTCTTAATCTTATCAATAGGTATCCAATAATCAATGCGTATGAATGTGTTGCACAAAAAGATTTCATTTCAATCAGTGCTTATGTGCCAGGTCAGCCTTCTAGGTCTGGTGGTATGTTTTGTATAGATTGGAATCTGAGAAGCCGATAGGTTGCTACAATGCTTCTGTTCAGGTATAGCTACAATTGTTTTTATGCTTCCTTGTGCAATTATTGGCCTTTTAAACTAGTGTCAATTTTGAAACCTAGAAACAAGTTACTATAGAATATCATTTTAAAGTAATGATAAGCGAAGATTTTGTGATAATGTTTCAACACATGCAGGAACTGACTGTAATTGATGATCTTCTATCTGCTTTAGTTGGAATTGAGGGACCATATATTTCTATCAATAGAGTTGGAGGGAATGATAACTCTATTATCTTCAATGTTGACGGATCTATGGATTTGGCACTCCAGGTTAAGAATCTTCACATATACAATTATACATACATAGATGCACATATGTATGTATCTATAACTTCATGGAACTCTTTTCACTTTTGGAAAATAAATGTTGCAAGAAAATGCAGGAATCATCGAAAAGAATATTCCCTTTATGCAAGATCTATTTGATTATCAATCAATTTGTGGAATCAAGATAACAGTTCAAGTCTGGATTAGTTAACCATGCCTTTGCTGCTGCACTAAGGGCCCTCCTTTTGGTAATATATTTATGTTCAATGTTGCCTATTAGATGATGGTTTCTACTGCATATAGTTAAAAATAATGATATAGTTTCTTACGTATTTGATATACACAACAATACAACTTTGCAAATTCTAAGTTTTGGAAGCTATAATGAGTGATAAATTTACTAATACAATAACAAGTCAAGTTATTCAATAGGAATCATGGACTATGTAAGATAAATATAACAATATAACATAATTTAGGTTATATATAGTTAGAGAAAACCTCTTAATAACATTGTACAATCGGTCCCCTTTACACTTTGTTACTTCTTATTTATGATTATATTGGATTTAAAATTAGTTTTCATGCTTTATCAGGGTGCTGCAAATATAAAAGTGGCAGGAATAGATATGAACAACAAGAGCAGCCGGTCACATAGTGTTTTCACTTGTTGGTTCTCAAAGGTAATTTGGTAGCTTAGACCATTGAGGTAAGGATGATGTGATCCTTTGTTTATTTGTTTTCAGAGGTCAAGTATTGCTATCAACCAATTAAAATTTCGTTCACCAAATGTTAACCTTGGTCTTTGCATTTTTTGTTCATAGATTACAAACACCAATTTCCTTCAAACAACAGAAGATCTAGAGTTTAAATGGGTGATTGAAGGTGATGGATGTAAACTTGATTCTGGAACTCTCAGTCTACCAACATTAGAGTTTAATTGGGTGATTGAAGGTGATTTTGGTTCTTGAAACGAGACTCAAGATATCATATTTTGGCATGGCTAGAAGCTTTGGAGGAAACGAGATTCAAGAAAAAGTAAACACATAGAGAGTTGTTGGCACATAGTAAGCTAGATGATGCAATTGTATATAAATGAGTTCATTTTTTTTATAACATTTATTCACTTTTGGAATAATTATTTGTATTTGACATATTAGTGAAATGAATTATCTTTGTTATTTATGGTATTTTATTTTGTATTATGAGATTTTTAATGTATTATTTAATTTGAAAATTAGTAAATCTATAAATAATATTTTTTTAAAACATTTAAAATTATGATACGCAAAAATGTCTGTCATCTTCATTTATGACATGGCCTTTCTTGACAGGGACTTTCTTGATACGCATTGTGTGTCATTAACATGCGTGTCGTAAGGTTACGACACACGAATGCGTGTCGTCTTCCTTTATGACATGGCCTTCCTTGATACGCATTGCGTGTCTTAAAGGCGCGTCGTCATTGCGCGTCGTAAATGAGCGTCGTAAATGCGCGTCGTCTATAGACGACGCTCAAAAGCGCGTCGTCTCTCTTTATGACAGGGCCTTCCTTGACGCGCATTTGCGCGTCGTCTGAGCCTTTTATGACGCGCAATGAGCGTCGTAAAAGGTTGTTTTTCTAGTAGTGTGACTAGTTTGATCAATAATTAATTTAGAATTAATTAAGTGATCAAAAGATAACTAATTAAATATATGGGTTGATTATGTAAATCATCCATATCTTGTATAGTGGGCTAAGAGGCTCCATGGATTATCAAGTTGGGTTCCACCCATAGGATACTCCATGGATGCTCCATGGTAGTTACAAACCCATGGGTCATGGAAATGAAGAGTCGTGACACATTAGGGTTTACATGGTGTAACCCTAGATGTGTCAACACTATATAAGAATCATATTCTCCACCAAAATCGGCTACACTAAGGAAACAAGAGGGCTAGGCTGACTTCAAGAAGTGTGTATTCTCTCAAAAGTCTTTCTAAGAGCATTTGGTGTTGTGTGAAGCATTTGAGGCATCACACTTGGGGTGCTAGGCTCATAAGGTTTCAAGGAACATAAGCAACAACAAGGTAAGTTATTCTATCTATCATTCAAGTTAAAATTGTTCCCTATGTATGCTAGATAGGAATATAGCCTTGGAATTCAACTTTGCATGGTAATTAGACAAACATAGATCCAAGGTTATTAGGGTTGCATGTACACTTAGGAAATGTTAGAATGCTCAAAACCCAACAATATTCACTTAGTAGCTGACTCCCATCATCAAGAATTCCACAAAGCACGAACCAGGCAACATTCGGGCATCGAATAACCTCCACCAGCACATAAGACCACTCTAGGTTACAATTCTATTTTCTCTACTCACGATCAAGAGGTGTCACCGAACTCCAGTAACCCTATCCCACGCGGGTATCTAACTACTCTCTCAGTAGGCTCCTATACTATTCATTTAGGTATCTCTCATAGAGTACTCCTCTACTCCAAGCCCTTTCTCTCTAAAATATTCATGTTGATTACTCTTACTCCGCACATACTCAAAGCACAACACAGATAGCAAAACTCCTAGGCTAAGGCATCACAGATTAGACAACTCTAGCCCTAATATATGAAATACCTAGCCCATTTTCTAGCATGCATCGCTAATATCTCAATAATAATTCAAAAACAAGTAAGGGTATTTTGGAAAATTACCGTTTGGGCTCTGGCTGATTGTACACACTGCTCCTTCTCGTTTTTCCTCTGAGAACTCTTGCTTGTTTTAGAAAATCATTTCCTTTGAAAATCTTTCTCAATTCCCCAGTTTGAGTTTAGATATACCCGAAGGTGCATCTGAATCCCTCAAACCAAGGCTCTGATACCAACTTATAACATCGTAAATTTTCAAACAAAATTTTCTTTTAAAAACCACATAATTCTCATATCACGTCTCACGAAAACTCCATTTAATTTATTTACAAAACACAACTCTATGTTTTCTTTAATAATAATAATACAGGATCATCAAATCATAAATCCTTCTTTGGTGTGTACAATCGAGCTGGTGCCTTCACGCGATTCTGACAAAAACATGAAACATATAACACGGTAAGCACGAAGCTCAGTGAGTTTCCCAAAATACCATACACACAACTCATCAGCCACTCAAGGCTATATCACTCTACGACCTTCCGGTCAAGGTGTCTCAGTGGGACCCTCCAGTCTCACGGTTCGTTGGACCCTCTGGTCCGGTTTGTAAAGCTTCGCATAGTATAAATCACAAAAGACATAATGCATAGCATACAACATAAAGCATGATAAGGTAATACTCAATATAAGCACATAAGACCCTCCGGTCACACATAAGTACCACTCTAGGTAAAATATACTGAGAAGACTCACCTCGGATAATGAACAACCCCTATAACGTTGTTGCTACGCATCGACCTCTAACTCTGAGCCAAAACCATAATTAACCCATTTAGAAACTAAGTCCAAACTCTCACTTATCAAGTCTAAGGGAAGACCACTAACCAGCTCATTAAAAGCCTAAAACCCATTGGGCCCACCAAGGCCTAATAATAAAATGGGCTCACCCGAGGCCCAGTCTCAAAACTAAATGGAAAGCCCAACACAAGGGCCCAAGGCAAAATTATAATATTTCTCTGCTCATAGTTTCTAATTCACAAGCCCAAATATTCAGGCCCAACTCTCACAGCCCATGATAAGATGCATCCAAAAAGGCCACAGTGAAGTTACGCGAGGCGTACCTCCCTTGGTACGCTCATCGTACTTAAGCATGCATGAAACTGATCGTGGACTCCAACCCAGTACGTGGGGCGTACTGGAACTTACGCCAGATGTACGTCTAATTTTGCTTTAGTCCATTCTCTTGGTCTTAACCCATTAAGACCTTAACTCATTTCTCAGATCTGGACTTCCTATAATCCCTTACTCCATAAAGTTAGTGACTTAAAGCCTTTGCATGGTTGATAAGGTCACAAACACATAAAACTTTTATTCTCTTAACTCAAAATGTTCAGATCTCATGCATGGGTTGATTCTCAATTCAAGACCTCATTTTATGGATCCTCACCACTAGAAACACTTAAAAGGACATATATTGAGCTCTGGAGTGCAACAACTTACAAAGCCTCAAGCTTTGGGACCAAAAGCCCTAAAATGGACCATATCATGCACAAAACAAAAAAAGATGGGAAGGCTTTGAGCTTTATACCTCCAAATGATGCTCCAACCACAGAAAAGCTCAAATCCAAAGCATGGACTCCATCTTTATTCTCTTCCATGCTCCTTCTTCACTCAAAATTTCCACAATAACACTTATAAGCTCACAATGGCCACACACAAGCTCAAGAACGAATATTATGGTTTAAGGGGGTTTATTGAATGAGGATGGTGGCCAGGAATGAGGCCATCTCATTTTTTATATAGGGACACTCCTCTTAATTAGGGTTTTCTTTTGTGCCTAGTACGCCCAGCGTACTAGGTGGCTCAGCTTAAATGTCATGCGCATGAGTACGTTAAGTGTACACACATGTACGCCCAGCGTACTCCGCTGCCATCAACTTCAACTAAAGGACTTATCTTGCTAAATCATCAAATTGTCATCACTTCCTCGGCATAACCCCGATTCCCACGAACCTCATACCCTCGGACAGGTGACGAGATGCCCTAAGCTCCTAGCAACTCGTCACAACACGAAAACTCCCTCATGCCCGGTTTGCAGCCCACGAACCCTAATCACGGACGATTGGAAACATGATGTCACATCAGTGACTAAATGTGTACAAATCAAAAAAATATATTACCCTTTTAAGTAATCATCCCAAAAAAAAATGTAAAATTTTTATAAAACTGCATTTTTTTAAATAAATTTTTAAAAAATCAATAAACTTAAAAAAAAAAACTAGAATATATATATATATATATATATATATATATATATATATATATATATATATATATATATATATATATATATATATAACTAATTTTATTAACAAAAGGAATCAACGTTTTAAATGCATATATGCATATTTTTCAAGTATGCATCTTTGTTATACTATAATATTCGTAAGTAATCATATAAAAAATCTATTTTTATTTAATAATATATAAACACAATAGTATAAGTGTTTTATTCAATACATAATAAAATATAAAAAAACAAAAAATACTACAAATTTTTAAAGCGTTTTCATGTATTTGTGTTAAGATTTCCATACTTTCTTTAATTTATCATTTTCACATCTTCAATATTTTCCACAAATTCTTCCAAATCTACAAGGAAATTAAAAAAAATAATAATTAATGCAAGAAAACTCACAAAAACACATGAGTGCATATAGACGTAATTCATATGGATTCACTTATGATTTATATGTAAATCACATTTAATTCATATAAAATTTATTTGTGAGTTAAATGTGATTCATATGTGAATTACATATGAATCATATGTAATTCATATGTGATTCACTTGTTGTTTACATGCGAATTACATATGAATCACATGTAATTCATATATGAATAACTTGTGATTTACTTGTGAATTACATGCGATTTATATGTAAATTACATATGAATCACATGTAACTCAAATGTGATTACTTGTGAATTACATTTTATTTACACATGAGTCACTCGTGATTTACTTAATTTTAACTTGATTTATTGATTATAAATTACAATTGTTTGTATTTAAGAAACTTTGTTTGATTGTCACTTTGAATAATTGTGTCACTCTATTACCACCTCCTAATTATGACATTTTTACATGTTACATTTCCTTAATTTTTTATTTTCATGACCATAGATGCAAACGTCTCCTTATTTTCATTAGTAGTGCAACATCTTATGTTCTTTTATTTTCTATTTTCATTTTTTTTTTTTAAATTATGCTTTACAGTTCCAAAAACGGGTTGTTTACTCATTTTTGATATAAGACTGAGTTTTTGTTTTTATTATTCTGGA